CTTCGCTGAACACAAAGATTAGTGTTTCAAAACAGTAAAACATATCACAGCGATGATAGTGTCAGTGAAAGGGACGTTTTTTGCATTTTTCACACACAAACGGCACTTTCACTGATGATAGTCTCCTGAATATAACAGTACCCCACATGTAGAGGTTTTATAGTGTTTGTGAAAGTTACAGGGTGAAATATAAGGCTTGATTTTACTTTTTTTTTTTTTTTTTATTGAAATTTGTCAGATTGGTTAGGTTGTCTTTGAGAGCGTATGGTAGCCCAGGAATGAGAATTAGCTTCATGATGGCATACCATTTGCAAAAGAAGACAACCCAAGGTATTGCAAACGGGGTATGTTCAGCCTTTTTTAGTAGCCACTAACAAATATAAATGCTAACTTTGGCCAGTGTTTGTGACTAGGTGGCTACTAAAAAAGACTGGATATACCCAATTTTGAATACCCTGGGTTGTCTACTTTAAAAAATTATGTACATGTGAGGTGTAATTCGGGGATTTATGACAGATAACGGTGTTACAATGTCACTATTGATAAATTTAAAATATATATATATATTAAAACAGCAATTTCCTACTTGTATTTATAGGCCTCTAACTTGCAAAAAAGCAATAAAGCATGTAAACACTGGGTTTTTAAACTCGGGACAAAATTTTTAATCTATTTAGCAGTTTTTTTCATTAGCTTTTGTAGATAAGTAAAAGATTTTTCAAGTAAAAGTCCAAAAACATGTTTTTTTTTTTAAATTTTTCACCATATTTTATTTTTTTTTTTAAATAAAATATATGACATGATACAAATAATGGTATGTAAAGAAAGCCCTTCTTGTCCTGAAAAAAAAAAATATAACTTGTATGGGAACCGTAAATGAGAGAGAGGAAAATTACAGCTAAACACAAACACCACAAAAGTGTCAAAACTGCTCTGGTCCTTAACGTACAACATCGCAAAAACAGACCGGTCCTTAAGGGGTTATCTGCTCCAGAGAATCTCCTCAGATTTATCGAGAGTCTCTGGAAGCAGACTCGTAACCATAATACTACTGTTAGGGATTTTTTAAGCCCTATATGTATACATAAAACAAAAAGCATTAATATTTATAAATGGGAAAAAAATATTCATAGTTTTAAATCTTGTGATTTTTACTTGTGATTCTAGTGATTTTTACATGTGCAGCTAAAGACAAAAGTTTCAAAATAAATTCCAAGATTTTACTATTAACATGACGTAAAGTCATGATTTTATTAATGACATGGAGGCGAGTATTATTCCTCCCACCCTCCCTGGGTGGAGTTTGTGGGATTCACATGCCTGTCAGTCTTAGATTGGGTCTACCACTAATTAATTTATTAAAGACGCGGAGGCTCCAATATGCTCTTTTAAAGCTGAGCTATAACCCTTTCTGAGAAGTGCTGTATAGGTTTATAATAAAAATTCCAGAATGTGGATTCTGTAGACCAATCTGCGGCCTTTAAGATGTCTTCCAATCGACATCCTATCGCCGATGCCTTAGAGGCCATGAGAAAACCGAGACATCTATCCGAGCCGAAGCCAAGAACCATTTGACCCAACGCGCGAGCTTAGGTGTAGTTACAGGGAAATGTGGTTTCTTCAGTGAGATGAACAGAGGTCCGTCATTAGATGGGCGTAGCGCAGAAGTGCGAGATTCGTATTCTTTTAGGCACAGCACCGGACATAGATTGGGTTGATTTGTGATTCTTGGGTAGAAGACCTGTTTAGTTGCCGATTTCATTCTCCGCGAGATATCGAATGACACTCCTTCCAGAGTGAACATGCGGGCCTGCCAATCCAAAGCTCTCGTTTACCTTATAGTAGACAAAACAGCATAAGCAGTTTTGCCGATAATTGTTTTAAAGACAATTCCGTGTGGGGCCATTCGTCCAGGAGCATGAACACCACGTTGCCATCCCAAAAGTATCCATATTTAGGCTTAGGTGGGTGCGAGAAATGAACCCCCTTAAACAGACGACTGACCAAGGGGTTCTGTCGGAGTGGGAGTCTCTCTACCTTATCATGGCCCACCGAGATTGCAGAGCGGTACAGGTTGACGGTGCGGAAGGCTTTGTCTGATTCAAACAGATGTGTCAGGAAGTCCAACACCGTTTTCACAGAGGCTGATACAGGATCCAACGATCGTTGCAATGATCGTTGCAAACACCAATTGGCCCACTGTCTCCAGGCCGCAGTATAGGCATGTCGTGTTCCCGGTGCCCATGCGTTTGCCAGGCGTTGTGTAGTTGTTCTCAAAACGTCTGTGATTTCCCAGGGTCCCCGGAAAGGAGCCACGCCATGAGACGGAGGAGTCCTTGTTCTATCAGAGTGTGACTCTCCCCGTCCGGATTGGTTAGAAGAGATGGGTGATCCGGTAACAACCGTGGGTGATCGATCGCCATTTCCAATAGGTGGGGAAACCAAGGTAGGGACCTCCAACATTGAGTTATCAGGACCATCGTGCTCTTGTAGCACTGGAGGTACACAAGGGATCGAGCAATCAGATTGAATGGAGGGAAGGCATAAGCCTGGCCTTTGGTCCAATCCTGGAGGAATGCATCGGTTGCCATGGCTTCCGGGTCTGGTCGCCAGCTGAAGAACCGAGGTAGTTGCGTGTTCAGTCTGGACGCAAACAGGTCCACACTCAAAGGTCCCCATAATTGGGTGATCTTGTAGAACACACTCGGTTGAAGTCTCCAATCTCCCGAGTCCCTCAGGTAATGGGAATTCCAATCCGCGATGTAATTGTCCAGGCCTGGGATGTGTTCCGCAGTAACTGACACAGTGTTCTGTACAGTAATGCCAAAAGTCTCGAGCCAAGACCGCTAAGATGTGTGACTTGGTGCCTACCAGATGGTTTATATACCGTACTGCTAAGACATTGTCCAGTTTGAGTAGAATCGAGCATGAGATGCCCCTGGGTGAGAGGCTGCGGATGGCAAACGAGGCTGCTAATAGTTCCAGAGAGTTTATATGTAGAAACGATTCGTCGGCGGACCATCTGCCTCCGGTGGATATGGAGCTTCAGCGCACGCCCCAGCCATGTAAGCTGGCGTCCGACTCTATCACCAGGTCCGGGGTGGAACCGAAGATCGCTCGTCCATTCCACATGTGGGTCAACCACCAGTTCAATTCTTCTCTGCATTCCACGTCCAGAGTAACGTGGGATTCGTATGAGCGGCCGTTTATTAAGCAGGTAGCTTTCAGCCGTTGTAGCGCCTGGTAGTAAAGCGGTCCCGGAAAGATCGCCTGGATGGAGGCCGCCAATAGTCCAATGACCCCTTGCCAATTTTCTCAGGGAGATGTCCGGGCGGTTCATTTTCTCTTTTTTGATGATGGACATCTTTTCTGCCGGGATGCATAGAATCTCTCGAACGGAGTCGACTCGGAATCCCAGGAATTCTATTTGTTGTGAAGGTCTTAGAACTGATTTCTTCCAGTTCACCAGGAAACCGAGGTTCTGAATGAGATGCAGGGTCCATGATAAATGAACCAACAGCAGGGACCGCGTCCCGGAGAGCAGGAGGATATCGTCCAGATAAATGATAAGCCGGACCCCGTCTGAGAAAGGCAACCACTGGTTTCAGTACTTTTGTGAATCAGGGAGCGGAGGACAGTCCAAAGGGAAGACATGTGAAACACCATTTCTTTGTCCCCCACTGGAATTGAAGCAGATCTCTGTGCTCTGTCGCTATCGGGACTGTCAGATATGCGTCCTGCAAATCTAGTTTGACCATCCAGTCCCTGGGGGTAGGTCTCGGAGGCAATGTATGCCCTCCATCTTGAAGTGTCGATATTGGATGAAGGCATTTAAGGGCCGCAGGTTTATAACCAGTCAAACGCCTCCTCCCTTTTTCGGCACTATGAACAGGTATCTAGAGGGATTTCCTCTATAGCCTTCTTGGCTTGCAGTTCCCTGATCTCCAAAGAGATGAGATCGTGGTGCGATTCTGACATGTGGAGCACCCGTGGAGGGGTGGCCTGAATGGGGAAGGCCGTCAATTTTAGGTGGTAACCCTCTATAGTCTGCAATACCCAACTGTCAGATGTGATCATAGCCCAGGCCTGAGAGAACAAGGTCAATCTGCCCCCCACATTTATTTGGGAAAGATGGGGAAACAGTGTACTTACCATAAGGGCATTTTCCCATGGATGCTCCTCGAACGCCACGAGCATTCCAAGGTCTTCCTCATACCGGTAAGAACGGAGTGTAGGAACGCTCTTGGTTCGGCTTCTGAGGGTTGAAGGAGCCTCTGCCCAGTCTGGAAAAACCCCAGGGGTTGCGGCCGGATAGACGGCCCCACCGAAAACCTTTTGGTTGAAGACACGTTTGATGGATGATCGGGCTTTGTCCAAGGCTGTGAAGGTCTTTACGTAGGAGCCCAGGTCCTTTACGAAGGGCTCTCCGAACAATAAGCCTTTTGCGGGGCACCTGGTTCATTGGGAGCCATGCTAGCTAGCTTGGGCTCGATCTTGAGCAGGATGGCTTTCCTGCGTTTGGTAGACATGGCCGTGTTGACACTGCCGTTCATACAAACCAGGCATTGGAGCCATCCAAATGCTACATCAAAATCCAGTTGTGCCTCACCCGACTGAGCTGCTTCAAGCAGTTCATATAACTTAGTGACCGGACCCAGAGTGTCTAGGAACTTATCCTGACAGTTTCGAAGTGAGTAATCTAGGCCCTTCTTGGGCTTCCAACCGGTCTTAGCCAAAAATTGGGCAATTTGTGGGTCGGGGGCATTCCGCCCTCAGCTTAGTATGACCCTCCTGGGAGAGGGATTTACGTACTCTGAGAGTTAGGTATTGAGCGATGTGCTCAGAGGGCTCCCATTCAGCGGAGCGAGGTTGTCTCAAATTGTCCGGGTCGAACGCAAGTGTCTTCTTTGTGTCACGGGCTGTGTCTGCCCCAGGTGCTTCCGACTGTGCCTTGGCATGAGTCGGTCTAGACGGGAATTGTGTTCCCGGGAGGTCCTAACCTCCTGAGGTCTCGTCCCCGTAGGTATCTGAGTAATGGTCATCCGACCCCTCATCCCCATCATTGTCTGACTCAGACAGTAAATCATGGGCCCACACCCGTTTCCAGTCTCTGGCTGCCGTAGCCCGGCCAGTAGCTTTATTGCGCAGTTGTTGCGCACCATCACAGACAGCCTGAGGCATGTCAATCAAGCCAGGCTTTACCTGGGTGTGGGTGGGGGGTCTTGAGCATGTTTGCACTTGCCTAGCGCTTTGCGCCCTGCTGGTGTCCCTTCAGGGATGGAATGCGTCTGAACAGGAGCAGCTTGAGCAGGGTGGGCCTGTCTAAGGGCTTGGGTAATGGACTGCGAGATGCTGGAGGACATGACCCCCATGGCTGATGAAATGGCCTTAGTAATAGAACTGGACATGGTGGTGTCCAGGAGGCTCTGAAATTCTTCTGAGCCTATGAGGCTAGGGTCAGCTTGGGGGTCAGAGCCAGGGGCTCCCATTGAGGGGTTGGGGTGGCCAGGTAGGTCATCTCCAGCTGACTGCATGACTACAGTAAGTGAGTGCAAGAAGCAAAATAAATAAAAGACAAAAAGTGCAGGATTGCTTAATCCAAGCACAGGGTAGGGTTAATCTGGAAGTAAAAGTAGAAATATACAGAAAATACCCGGGTCTTGGGTGATTTTAGCGGAGTCGTGTGTCGTGTGCAGCGTCTAGAATCATTCAGAACTGCAGCATGAGTGTTAAAATGGCAACAGAAAACCAAAAAGATGGCCTCCACGAGCGTCGTGCGCATGCGTGGCGTTCACAAGCAGCGAAAGTGAAAGTAAAAACTAACCGCCGCGTGGAAGCATGTGGGTACTGAGAAGGGAGCCGGGAACGGGGCGAGGTGGTGTAGGGGCCAGGGAGCGAAGCAACCACACAGAGGGGGAAAAGACCCTGACTTGCCAGACAAGGCAGACCTGCCGAACACCACAGGACCCAGGGGACACAAATACAGTATAATGCAGTAAATACACAATTAACACTACAATATCTAAATATGAGTTAAGAAGTCATAGACAGTAATAATAGTAAAAGTAAATAGTGGGAGCAAAACATAAGCCCCTAAGTGAATAGGGATAACATATACAGTCCCACATCAATTATATCACAAAGCAAGTAGGAGAACGTTGTACTTAGCTGGTCTGAGGGAGCAGTGAAGAAAGAGGAAGAGGAAGAGAGTGCTACACCTTATATACTGAAGGGGGTGGATACTGATTAGTAGCACTGTTGAATATGCTAATGTTAAGTTGTTTTTCTCTTTACATACATTTTTTCTCTTCGCTGCTGAAAATTAAAGAAAGAGAAGCATAATACTCGCCTCCGTGTTTTTAATAAAATCCATGGATTTGTCCAGAGCAATTATAGGTCAGATGGTATAAAGTGAAGATTACTTGTTTAAAGCTAAAAGTTAGCAGAATGTATCATGTTTTGATAGACAGGGTTATTCACTATAATCCAAATGGCTCCAAATTGGGAAAAAAACATCTGGCTGCTTGCATGGTCATTCAGAAAGAAGTGAGACTTTCATGACAGGGCACTGACTGGTTGGCTTATAAACCAACCAATCAGAGTGCTCTAATGAGAATGAGAAAACACGTACTCTATGCTAATCGCTCTCTAATGTATACTTTCATCTTTCAAGTAAATCCATACCCCCTAACAGCAGTGTCCAGTGAAGCAGGAAGTCAATGGGCTGGGTAAAAGGGTGGGCCACTGATGCGAATCACGTAACCAAAACTGCCAAAACGGGCAAACATGCCCAAAAATTGGGCATGTCTGTCCAAAGAATTGGAAGGCCAGCCTGGCATCAGTGTCCCTATATATCAGTGTGTCAGTGTCCCTATGTCGCCCAGTCCCATAGTCTCCCAGTGTCTGTGTCCCCATTTCTCCCAGTGTCCCCATTTCTCAGTGTGTCCCATGTCACTAGGATACTAGGGGACACTGAGACATGGGGACACAGTGAGACATGGGGACACAGAGACCCGGGGACACTGAGACCCATGGGGGCACTGAGACATATGGGGGCACTGGGAGACATGGGGGCACTTGTGGATACAGACATGGGGATACTGGGAGACATGGAGACACTGGGAGACATGGGGACACTGGGAGACATGGGGACACTGAGACATTTGGGGATACTGGGAGAAATGGGATCACAGACACTAGGGACACAGATACATGGGGACATAGATACTGGGAGACATAGGGACACAGACATTTGGTGACACTGGCTGGGAGGCATGGGGACACTGGGAGACATGGGAGCACTTGTGGACATAGACATGGGGACACAGACACTGGGAGACATAGGGACAGTGAGACACTAGGGAAACTGGCTGAGAGACATAGGAACACTGGGAGACATGGGGACACTAGTAGACATGGGGATACAGACATTTGGTTACACTCTGAGACATGGGGACACTGAGAGACATGGGTAAACAGACACTGGGAGACTAGGGGACACTGGGAGCCATGGGGACACTGATACAAGGCTGGGAGACATGGGGACACTGTGTCCCTAGTGTCTCCATGTCCCAATGTGTCTCCCTATGTCTCACAGCGTCCCCATGTGTCTCAGCGTCCCCATGTCTCACAGTGCCCGTAGTGTCTCATTGTACCCATGTTTCCCAGTGTCCCCAAGTGTCTCAGTGTCCCCACGTCTCCCAGTGTCCCCTAGTCTCCCTGCTGCCTTTCCCCCATCCTTCACATACCTGAGCTGTAGTCTGTCTCTGCAGGCTGGGAGCTGCTGTCTGGACTCTCTGTGCTGTGTGGCTGCTCCCCCGTGGATTAGTGAGTAGAAAGAGGCAGGTAGATGCTGTAACGTCCTATCCTTGCTTCTCTCCACACACAGTGACCCCTACTGGCTAGTGCTGGTATTGCAGAGCAATCTCCATTTATACTGAGAAAAATATTTGCATTTGTATTGCCAGTATTACTGCAATACCGTCATGGCCAGGCAGCCTCAAATACTGGCTGAGCCTTAAAATACCAGTCAGGTGGCAGACCTAAGAGTAGTGTGTATAAAAACTTTTTTTTTTTTTTTTAAATGGGCCTATTCCATGGGCCTGGGCCTGGGCCTGAAGCTGCAGCTCCATCAGCCCCTGTGTTAATCCAGCCCTGGTGCTAGTAAATATGACAATTGCAATTCCAGTCGGAATTCTGTGATTTTCACAGAAATTTGTCCATTTGGACAAAATCCAATGTTTAGCAGACAACCTTGTGTGTGTCCCAGTTAAGTTCTGCAAAAGATAAACAAATGGACAAAAAAATAATACATTTGATAAATTTATATACAAATGCTCTGTTTTGTCCAAATGTTATGTGCTATTTAGGCATCCATGTTTTTAGATAAATATTAGTAATGATCTCAACTAACGATGTTTTCAACCTCTCTGGGTAAACTTTACTTTTTCCATTATGCATATTGTAAATTTAACATTTTACTTTTGTGAGGGTTATTTATTATAATGTTGTCAGTTTTTGTTTGTCAAAAGAATTGTTACCTTGAATATTCAAATAAGCCAGCCTTTGATTATTCAGGCATAGAATGTATGCATATTAAAAAGGAAATATCACTGAGATTCAGAATTTTTTTTAAATTTTTTTTTTTTTAAGATATGCCCCAACATTGCACCTTATATGATTATGCATAGTGTTTACAATCAATAAAACTCCACTTAAAGGAACACTCTAATGGAATATATGTTGACAATTTTGTATCATTTCATAGATATACCACAAATGAAAACATGCGTGCATTCAATTATGCATTTTTTATTTGCAGTATACCTAAAGAAAGCAAAACATGCAAATATTTTCTGTAAGTTTTTCAAGCCCTCTCCTTCTTCCACAGCCCAGACATTTTGGGTACAATTACAGACTACCCAATGCAGCTGATTGAGAAGTATTTGCAAGGCAGGTGCTCAGAGCTAAGAGGAAATTGCAAGTCTGGTTGTCAGATTGACAGCCAGGGGGGCTGTCACAAGGTTCAGTTTCAAAAGTAAAAAAAACATTCATATTGAAATCTGCACTTTAAAAAAATAAAAACAGAGCTAAAGTACTTTAGGTGTGTAAAGTGTCCCCTATCTGAGCAACAACAAATGTAGATAGGGAACAGTATTCTATAAAATATAATGCTATGCTAATAATGGGAGAATACAAGAATATTTCTGCAATTTCTTAGCAAATTACTATTTTTCCATGTGATATATATGCATTAAATGTGGCATTCCATCTAGAGTCTGCATTTGACCTGTCATATAAACTTTGATACACTGCTTCCTTAATGTAGCTTCAGTAGTCATTTATGCATTTAAGATGACTTTCTTTATGGAGTGTCTGTGTTAGTATCTAAAGATTACTGACTGTGACAAATCACTTCATCATTTTAAAAGTTTAGCTGAAAGCACATTGACATTAGTAATATACAAAAGCAAGACATAGAATAAAAGAAAACACATATCTGAAACAAAATAGCATTGTCTTCATTCTCTGGCTCTTACTGCATTGAGCCACATCTTTTGATCCCTTTAAAACCAGGGAATTTATCTACTAAGAATAGTGTAGAGATGAGTCAACAGTAAATAGACAAGTTGGAAAAATAGTAGGGATGATACTTAACATTTGTTACTAAAATAAGGAATAACTTATTTGATGGTTTTTCATTTTTACTGACATTTAAATAGTTACTCCAAGCACCATGCCCACTTCAGTTATTTGAAGTGGTTATGTTGATTTGAGTCTGTGCAACATTTCAGATTGGTTTTAGTACCTTTATACTGAGGAAGGTTAGTGGGCTGTGGGAGCACACTTGCAGGTAAATTTGGCATTTTTTAAATTCCATTTACCTATGATGATGGTTAATGACCAACATCAAAGAAATAAAAATAGAAAAAGCAAAATTTGAACTGATATTGGCAGCCAAACCCATTCATCACTGTCACCAATAAAACAATACAATTACTGGGTGTTATTAGGGATCATAATGAACCATTACAAATATAATTTAAAATAATGATGGTAGATCTACCACAGTCCCCATATCAACCTCAGAATGAACATTCCCAAAAATTAGGTGAATGGGGCCATTAAACCCTTTAACTAGCGGGGCTCCACGACATTATTTTACCTCTCCCATGTAGTTTGTGACTGGAGACATGTTATAA